TCTTCAATAGTACAATAACACAACAATAAAACCATAACAATACTGCAATAACCCCATAATAACACTAACATACTTCGTTAAAAAAATAACACCGGAATACTTCAGAGATAATACCGCAAAGACAATAACACCATAATAACACAACGATAAAACCATAAAGCCGCAACAAAAAAGTCTCTTCAACAGTACAACAACACAACACAACAATAAAATCATAATAATATCACAATCACCCCAACATTTCTTATTAACAAAAATTACACAAGAATACTGCCAAGATCTGGATTGTTAAACACAAGCACAGAAACAAATTTGAATAAAACTAACCAACCCTAAACCCAGAAGAATGCAATAAAAATTCCAAATCAAAAAATAGACCTACTTAAACCTACGATATACCTAAGATATGGATTGCAAAAACTCACACAGATCAACAAACTACATAATGAAGAAACATATAGGATTTGTACAGATCCAGGATTTGTACAGATCTACAGATCCGGTACAAGAAGCTAAACTTGCACAGATATGGAAGCGGTTGTCGTTCTCGTTGTCGGTAGATCAGTCCTTTTCGACAGCTCCAAACCCTAAAGTGCGAAACTAAATCTGGGTATAACCGGGAAAGAGCCTTATGCATTAAATTTTCGTCAAAAAGGAGTATTGGGTCGGGTCGGGCATAAAAAAAAGCTTATTTTTAAGCTGTAAAGCCACGAGGAATCGAATACATGAAAAAGCTTATTTTTAAGCTGTAAAGCCACGTGGAATCGCATTCCACGTGGCGAATTTTTATTCGGTACCGCATGTAGGGGTTCATGAGGTGCACGTACCGAATAAAAATTCGTTTGTGAGATCTGTGAGGGTTGCGTGGGTTTAAATAGAGGTTTTCTCTTATTTTATATTATTATTATTATTTCATTTAAATATATCAATTTGCAGGAATTTTGCTCATGCACGGAACTATAGCAAAAAAGTGTCATTTCTAGATAAAACCGATGTTCCAGACACGTTCGTGTAGTACATTTCATCATTCGAGGTCATCTATAAAAGTTCGTCGATGATTAGGTAGTACTTTGGTCCGATCGAAGCCGCTTAATGAGCAAAGTGCTGACTAGTCCTCACCTAAGCAATAACTAAAGTCAAGCAAACCACTCTCGACGGTAAGTCGCCTAGATCGTTCCGGAAGGCCTAAAGTTCATGTTGCAATGGCTTTCATTTCAATTTTAAATTAGATTTTAACATTGGTTAGTGAATTGTGTCTATCGTGGAGTTTGTGTGTGATGTAAGTGTATGTTTATGTGTCTTATGTGAATTATGGTGTTTATGTGTGTTTTGTATATGTATGTGTATGTGTGTGTGTGCGCGCTATGTTAATTATGGTGTGTTAAGGAACGAAAGCTCCCAAAGGGTCTTCCTAGGGCACTCTCAATCCCAATAGGAACTAGACCTGAGTTTCAATGTGTTGCTTTCAGTCAACTCAACTAAATGCTGAGGATTTGAAACAACACATATGAGAGTACAAGGAGTCATGAGGTGGCTTGAATTTCTAATTGGTGCAGGTCCCGACACTAGTCCCCTAGGAGTTGCAGCAGAGAAGTCCTATGACAAGATTATAGACTCTAGAGAGGGAAACATAACTCACAAAAAATGAGGTCAACAATTGCTGCCTTGAAGATGATTGGTGAAGTTTTGATGGAGAATTGATATATGAATTATGCTTTTGTGAGGGATTGAGAAGATATTGATTACTAGGGGTTTTTGTTGTTTTGAGAAACCATAGTTCTTCTCATAAGTGCTAAGGGAATGGTGTTCTACCAGGTAAGAGTGGGAAAATCAGAACTGCTGCTTGGAGTCAACTTCGGTCTTTATCAAGGAGGAATAACTATGTATCTTTATTTATTGTTTTATGTATTTCTATTGTAACAAAGATTTAGTAGATTTTTTTTGTGTCAGTGCATGTGTTTAGTGAAATCAACATGCTTCTTGGGTAAACTCTTAACTCTTTCCTATGATGAGTACGTAGGATGAATGGAATGTGAAGTGCTTGTGAGAGATGGGTCTTGTGGAAGAGAAAGACTCTTTTGCAAAGGAAGCTGGCGCAAGAGATGAAGGTTGCACTGTAGATGAAACATGTACGAGAGAAGAAGGTTGCTTTACAAATGAAGATTGTGCGAGGATGCAGGATGAGGAAATGAGAAGGCGAAGATGTAACGACAGGAGCGAGAGACGAGGAGCTTTCGCAGAATTGAGGAATACTTCATTTTTGCTTGATTCGAGAGCATTATAAAATCATAATACACTCTAAATTTTTTAAGTACTTTATTTACAACAAATCAAATAGCTCTTACGTTAAATACCACTTTAAAGCAATTTCTACTAAATTATTTAGTGAACTTTGAACGCAATATCTTTAACTACTGTTACACAACATCCGAAGTCCATACACAGTTTTGCATCTGGACAACAATAAGACCACGTTATCTGTAAAGTGGTGGGCCCCTTTTTTGTCATTTTAAAAAATTGTTAAAAATGTGTTTTTCCGCTTGATCGACCCAAATTCCGCCCGAATACCTAAAAAAAATCACGCGTTGCTCAAAATCTGGCATTGTTCATAACCATACACCGTTTGTTTTCTTTTTCTCGGTTATGGTTTTTCCCGCGATTAGAATTTAAGTGATATTCTTCTGCTACTTCCAAAGAACTCCACAACATATCATTTTTGAAAATAGGATATGAATATTTTCGTGGCAATAACTAAATTGAGTTGAGCTTCATTACTTTTAAAATAGCTTTATTCGTTAGGGTTTGCTCGATGTATTTCGGTTAGTAGAGTTTGTTTGTAGTTTCACTTAATGCAACTTCTGGTATGGATTTCAATTACATTATTCAAACTTATTATTTTTATAGCTTTTGAATATATATATA